ACAGGGACACCTGGACATGTCTGAGTCCATCACAGGGACACCTGGACATGTCTGAGTCCATAATAGGGACACCTGGACATGTCTGAGTCCATAATAGGGACACCTGGACATGTCTGAGTCCATTATAGGGGCACCTGGACATGTCTGAGTCCATCACAGGGACAACTGGACAGGTCCGAGTCCATCACAGGGACACCTGGACAGGTCCGAGTCCATAATAGGGGCACCTGGACAGGTCTGAGTCCATCATAGGGGCACCTGGACAGGTCTCGGTCCATCAGTCTCTATGTTTTGGACTTACAGGAGTGTATTTGGAGTTCACCTGGTTCTTCTCTCTCTCAGCAGGTCGCTGGTATCTGTGGGGGACCAGGTAAAGAAGCCTCTGAAGGGCCACCCTGTCCCCTGCCTGTCCTCTGCCTGTCCCCTGCCTGTCCTCAGCCTGTCCTCTGCCTGTCCTCTGCCTGTCCCCTGCCTGTCCTCTGCCTGTCCTCTGCCTGTCCCCTGAGGGTCCAGCATGCTGCAGCTGTGTAAGGTGACCAGCGCTCTGTTCATCAGTAACGCTCGCTCCGCCTGCAGCGAGGAGCTCCTCCAGCAGGAGGCGGTGACGCTCTGCATCAACGTGTCCAAGCAGCAGCCGTTTCCCGCCGGCGGGGGCGTGGCCAAGCTGCAGGTGCCGGTCTACGACGACCCCGCCGAGGACCTGTACCGCCACTTCGACCGCTGCGCCGACGCCATCCAGCAGGAGGCGGAGCGAGGGGGACGCAGCGTGGTCTACTGCAAGAACGGACGCAGCCGCTCGGCCACCGTGTGCGTGGCCTACCTGATGAAGCACTGCAGCATGAGTCTGAGCGAGGCGCTGCAGGTGAGGGGGGCGGGGCTTCAGCTTTCACCTAAACTAATAAAGTTTCTCACATCTGCAGTCGAACATGAAGCTTGAAGCTTCCTGTCTGTCCTCAGCTGACTCATCTGCCTGAAGGTCAGTCAGTCAGAGTGTGATGAGGCTGCAGGGGGGCGGGGCCTAATGTCCGGTGTCCTTCAGCTGAGCAGAGACAGAACAGCTGACAGGAAACAGGTTTTAAAKGATTTCAGCTCAGTTTCTGCATCAGATCATCAGAAACGAGCTGAACACCTGAAAGCAGCTGATAAACAAGAAATAAAAGTTATTAGAAATGATAAAAGTATAAAAAATAAATATTTAATATGATGTCATGACTCAGTCTGAATAAAATAACACTTTAAACAGTTTGAGGAGGTTTTAATGAGAAACTTTAAATAAAAATCTGATTTTTAAGCTTTTCTTGCTTTTAATTTTATAAGAAAAAAAACTTCTAAATGA